GGAAACCTGTTTCATGTGTTATGTAGATATTTCAAAGTTTCTTCTAAGCATTTTTGCGTCAGTTGTCTCATCCATCCTAGGGACATGGTATAACTAAAAGTGCAATTTTAGGAGCCTTTAAGAGCATTTTTATTTTCATGGATTGATGTATTTATGTTAGCATGTTGTAATGATTAGTAAATATGTAACTTTAAAATATCACCTAATGGAGGTCTGATTCTACTGAGGATTTTATGATCTAGATATTATTATGTTTGAATTATAATCTGAATGTCGTATCGCTGAACTTGGACGGATGAGATTAATTTTTTTTTTTTTTGATTTGTGTGCTGAAGATCATGTAAGTTAGTGGTGTTTTTACAGTGTGGTAGTGTATTCCTTGGGTTTAGGCTAGCAATGGCGCGAAACCTCTTGTTTTGCCTCTTGGAGAATAAAACACTTTGAAAATGGGAAATGCAGTACATATTTATAATCTTGATGAGTAATACTGAACTAATCAACTTCCATTCCGTATCTTCAAAGCATATGCCCCATCACTTTTATGATATTTACAAATGCAACAGCCTATCTTTTTCCAATTATAGTAGCATGATGCATGGATATGTGACTGTAAATTTGTTGCTTATGTGTATAAGAAAATTTTTAGATGTAGAATCCACACTTTTTTTTAATCCAGACCTCCATTAGGTGATGGTAATACGACAAAACATATAATTTCATAGTTTTGAATATAAAACTTTATGTCAGAAAATGTTTGTTTAGTTATGATTGATAATGTTTTAGATACTTGCTTCTTTACTCCATCAAATTTATTTTGTTTGGTGCTACAGTATTCTTTTATGTTGCTATATAGTTTGTTGGTTGACTTATTGATTATGCATTCAATTGATGGTATGAAAAAATGATAGAGCTGCAGATGAAACACAAGCAGGGGAAAGTGAAAAAACAGAAGCTGAAATATGTGAGGAAGTTTTGGGTAAAGCTTTCGGATTTAATAAAATTTGGCATTTAACAAACTGAGCATCAATCCACTGCAGCAGAAGCAGAGTTAAGGTGCATTGTGCAACAACAAGAAAATAAGATTAAACAGTTGGAGGAGCAGCTCATCTTATTTGATCATCAAAAAGAGAAAATAAAAAGGCTTGAACACAAACAATTTGTCCTGTTGGACATGATGAAGCAGCTAACTATAGCCTTTGAACTACAACAACCTCATAAAGCTCCAACTGGATAGCCATTGCCATCTCCAACTGATGAAGATTCGTCCTCATCAGCTACAACTATTTAAAAAACCACAACTGGCGACACTTGACATGCTAACGGTATTGATGGTTATTTTTTTGTTTATGGGCAGTAGATATTTTGAAATGGGGGTAGAACCATCTTTTTAGGATTGTTTGCATATATATGTTAGATGGTGTACATTGGGTGGGCTTTTTTTTTTGTTAGTTATGCACAGATAGATAGGTAGTGGGCTGAAAATGTGGGTGCATGCTGTTTTTTTTGGTTATGCACATGTGATAGTGCATTTTGGATTTTTATTGCTCATCATGCATAAAAATCCATGTATGGACTATATATATATGTATGAAAATATGATATTTGATGTTAGTGATCAGATTTTATATTGTGTCAATTGAACAGTTGATTTGAATGTATAATGTAGGTCAATACGAAATGCTCTTAAAAAAAAACACATTTTGCAACTAATTTTTGTAGTAGCAACAAGTAATTTAGCATAATTGCGTTCCACTGAAGGTCCATACGAAATGCTCTAAAAAAACACATTCTGCAACTAATGTTTTAGTAGCAAAAAGTAATTTAGTATAATGCTTTCACATTCAATGTTTAAAAAATAGTCGCGAAAACCTTTTGGATTTCATATTCAGCGTCTAAAATGATTACAATTAACCACTAAATTTTTGGTCATCAAACGATACATTCAGCCACTAATAAAATAGTCACAAAAACCTATTGGATTCCACATTCAACGTCTAAAATGACTATAATTAACCACTAAATTTTGGTCACCAAAAGATACATTCGGTCACTAATAAAATAGTCACAAAAACCTATTGGATTCCACATTCAGCATCTAAAATGACTATAATTAACTACTAAATTTTGGTCACTAAAAGATACATTAGGCCACTAATAAAATAGTCACGAAAACTTATTGGATTTCACATTTAGCGTCTAAAATAACTATAGTTAACTACTAAATTTTGGTCACCGAAAGATACATTGGCCACTAATAAAATAGTCGTGAAAACCATTTGGATTCTACATTCAGTGTCTAAAAGTATAACAATTAATCACTAAATTTTGGTCACCAAAAGATACATTCGTCGACTAATAAAATAGTTACGAATGCCTTCGACAAAATTACCCTTACACCTTTGGCGCCTAATTTTTGTGGCATTCGCGACAAATTATTGGACACTAAAAGGTACATTTTGCAACTAATTGATTAGTCGCTATGCAATTTTACCAAATTACCCTTGAACTATAAGCGTCTAGCTAGGGGACTATTTTGACGAGCAATTAGCGACTAATTTGCTGGTAGCTAAAAAAAAACTTTCCGTGTTTAAACAAAAATTTAGACGCGTAAACAATCTACGACAGCGATACTGCAACTAACTGGCGACTACGAAATTTAGACGCGGAAAATGGCTTAGCGTCTAAATGTTACTTTCTGTGTCTAATTTTGCTTGACGCCAAAAGGCATTTTTCTTGTAGTGTTAATTCCGTTCCAATGCCTTTGTGTCAGAGCAAAACTATATCTTGCTAACAAATTTATAGAAAATGCTATATTTGGTCGTGTATTGTTAGATTGCGTCTTTCCATTTTGACCAATCTTCTCTCTGTCTACATTCTTCAACAGATTTAGGTTCAAAATCCTCATTATTATTTACAATATCAGGCGCTATATTGTATGCAAAAATATTGTCGACAATTTTTTTTTTTTTCGATTCTATATTTTTCTTGTAGAGACATAATTTATTGAGATCTCTTCATTCTTGCTAGTTTCAGGTACTTGAACTTCTTCTGGAGTTTCATGATTAATTATGTCTCTATTCTCTTCATGAGAACTTGCCTCCTTGATGTAAGCATCTTGGTTATTTGCTACTCTTTTCTTTTAAGGATTTTTATTTTTGGAACCAACTGGTCTACCACGTTTTAAACGTGCCTTAGATTAATTTGCTATAGGTAATTTTCCTTTAGGGACATCAATCCAAATTGGAGAATTTGCAGCTGGTATGTGAGATTTAGTCACTCTTTTTGAATCAGTGAATGCACCTGGCAACTGATTTGCTACATTTTGCAAATGAATTATCTTTTGAACTTCTTGTTCACATTGTTTAGAACAAGGATCAAGATAAGATAATGATGATATTTTCCAAGTAATTTCCTTTTCTAGCTACCTATTCTCTCCCCTATAATGTCGGGAATTTTGTTTCATTAAAATGACAATCGGCAAATTGTGCCGTAAATAAATCTTCTGTTAATGGTTCTAAATATTTAATTATAGAAGGAGATTCATATCCAACATATATTCCTAATCTTTTTTGGGGACCCATTTTAGTGCATTGTGGTGGAGCAATTGGAACATATACCATACATCAAAATATTCTTAAATGAGAAATATTTGGCTCTTGACCAAAAGCCAATTGTAAAGGAGAGAATTTGTGATAACTTGTTGGCCTAATGCATACAAGTGCTGTTGCATGTAAAATAGTATGTCTCTAAATAGAACTTGGGAGCTTTGTTCTCATAAGTAATGGCGTAGCAATCAATTGGAGGCATTTAATAAATGACTTTGCTAAACCATTCTATATATGAACATGGGCAACAAACTTTTCAACCGTTATTCCGATTGACATACAATAATCATTAAAAGTCTAAGACATAAATTCACCAACATTATCAAGACGTATTGTTTTAATTGTATAATTTGAAAATTGTGCTCACAATCGAATTATTTGGGTAAGTAATCTCGCAAACGCCAGGTTGCGAGTAGATAATAAACACACATGGGACCATCTTGTAGATGCATCTACTAAGACCATAAAATATCTAAATGGTCCCATGGTGGATGAATAGGCCCACATATATCACCTTGAATTCGTTCTAAAAATGTAGGTGATTCAATCCCAATTTTAGCTGGTGATGGTCTAAGAATTAATTTACCTTGAGAACAAGCAACATAAGAGAATTCATTAGATTGAAAAATCTTCTGGTTTTTCAATAGATGTCCATGTGAATTCTCAATGATTCTTCGCATCATTATTGAACCAGGATGACCTAACTGATCATGCCAATTAATAAAAGTATTAGGATCAGTAAACTTCTGGTTTACTATAACATGTGTTTCAAATACACTGATATTTGTGTACTGTGTAGTACAATCCAAAAGAAATAGAATGTAATTTTTCCAACACACATTTCTTGCCTGTAATTATTCTTGTAATATAAAGATATTCAATATTTCTTTCATTGATTGTCTCAATATGATATCCATTACAGCGAATATCTTTAAAACTTAAGAAGTTTCTTTCAGACTTGGAAGAAAATAATGCATCTTTTATAATAAATTGTGTTCCTCCAGGGAATAATATATTTGCTCTTCCAGAGCCTTCAATTAATGTTGTACTTCCAGATATTGTAATGTTAGCTTCACACATTATCAAAGAAGAAAAATATTTTCTTTCTTTAAGTATAGTGTGTGTTGTAGCATTGTCTGTGAGACAAAGAGATCTTCATCATTAATCTTGGATCCAATCATAGACTTGGGAATGTCCATTTTTCTTTATTCAAAAACAAAATACATAGTAAGGCATATTACAAAGCCAACGAAACAAAGTAATTTATCTAAAATTGAAAATCACACTTATACATATTAAAGCACTCATTAAAAGTAAAACACTCAACTCAAACATATTAAAAGTAAAACACTCAACGTAAATAAATTAAAAGTAAAACACCACAAAAAAATAACTTTAATAATTTTGGACATTTCCATCCCCAATTAAATGATCGATTCTCCCTTCAGGATTTTCGAAGAAATCTGCAACATCTAGATGTGTTATATCAACAGGTCCATGATCAAAATTATCATCTTGATAAGCAAAATTTGCTTCTCTATTTTCATTTTGGTAAGCAAAATTTGCTTTCATGATATTTGTCTCTTTTTCTTTCAACGATACTTGATAAAGTTCAACAAGATGTTAAGGCGTACAACAGGTACGTAACCAATGTCCTTTTGATGCCACGTCGATAGCACACATTTTCTGTATTCTTTGAATTTTTATGTTGTCTACTTTTGCCCTTTTCCTTTTTCTCTTCATCATTATTCCACTTCTGGTGGCTTTTATAATTAGAAGAGTTATAGTTATAACCACCACGATTGTGATTATTACAACTTTGACCTCGCCTATGCCTATGATTATTAGATATTGTCACATTCACTTCAGGGAATGGAGGAGAACCTATTGGACAAGCTTCGTGATTTTTCATTAATAACTCGTTCACCACAAGAAGACATAAAATTAGTTCAGAATATTTTTGAAAATCCTTTTCTCTATATTGCTGCTGCAAGAGCACGTTTGATGCATGAAAAGTAGAGAATGTTTTCTCTAACATATCTTCATTAGCAATATTTTCTCCGCACAATTTCAATTGAGAACTAATTCTGAATACTGCAGAGTTATATTCAATTACTGATTTAAAATCTTGTAAATGCAAATGCATCCAATCATAACGAGCTCTAAGAAGAATCACAGTTTTCTGGTGGTCATACCTTTCCTTCAAATTTTCCCAAAGAGTAAGTGGATCTTTTACTATAAGGTATTTAGTTTTCAATCCTTCGTGGAGATGATGTCGAAGGAAAATCATGGCTTTAGCCTTATCTTGATTGGATGATTCATTTCCTTCTTTGATTATGTCACCAAGACCCATAGCATCTAAGTGAATTTCAGCATCAAGAATCCATGACAAATAATTCTTGCCCGTAATATCAAGAGCCACAAATTCAAGTTTCGTAAGATTTGTCATAACAGAAACTATAAAAGAAATATTTAATAAATTAGACAATCTCCAATAAAATGAAAATATTATCACAAATAATTATTTAGAATAACAATAATGAATATACAATTTATTACAGTTATAGAATTTAATCATTTAAAAGCATAAATCATAAAAGCAAATATTTACAAATATATGTGTCTTTCTTTATTAATCAAAGTATAAATCTATCATTATATAATGTTTTGTTCATAATGAAACCAAAACGTTCCAAATTAAAACACTTTCATATATTTTATACTATAAATGTAAAACCCCATTCTAATCATATATATATTCGCTTTGGTTTTGTTTATAAGGAGGGACTTTTCTGTCAAATTTTTAAAGTTCGTTAAGGGGTGAAATCGAAGAAATAAATCCTGATGGGTTTGCATGTATCAAGAGGGAAAAATTTGGACATTTTTGCTAGGGAAAGCTTATGTGGCAGGGTTAAACTGAAATTTAGAGAAATTGGGGGGCAGAAATAATTTCAGAAAAGTGTTTGTTTAAAAGGAGAAGGAAACTGGGCAGTTC